TAGTTTATCTGTTCTTTAGATATAATCTGTGTATTTATGGTATGTACTTAGATATGTAACTTAAAACAAGTTAAAGGTTAAGTGATTAGGCATTAGGGATCATTTAATAGGTAGGATCTCCTCTTCTTCCTGAAGTCATTTGATTTTTTTTTTAATCATCACTTTTTGAAAATTCTCACTTGGGGATTAAAATTTTTGGTGGCATCATTATATAGCTATACATGTCCATGAACACTTCTGTTGCTTTTTGTTAAGTGATTTACTGGAACTTCCGTTTTTTAAAAAAAGTAAAAAGAGCCCTTTAACTTTAAAAACATACATTGTGTGTCAGGTATTAGATACAACTAAGCAAATAAATACATGGTTTAATTTCCTTGTGCCATTTAACAAATACTGTGAGTGGGGTTGTAATAAAAGCACTTTAGAAGGACATGATTCCTGCTTTTGAGGAATATTCAGAGAAAATATATGATAGAATGAAAAAAATCTGTATATTTTAGACGTCTGTAGTCCTGTTTCTCTCCTTGTCCCCCTCCTCTCCACCTTACCATTCATTCCCTTCCCTTCCTCCCCTTCCTATCTTTCTTTTTCCCGTACCCTTTCCTTCACCTTCTGTCACTTAATTCAGTCTCATGGTGTATCATGAACTAACATGATACCCCTTACCCACCAGGGTGTGTGTTCTGAGACCCCCCACCCTGTGGGTGCCTGAATCCATGGATAGTATACTATATACACTATACATACTGTGTTTTTTTCTACACTTGTATATCTATGGTTAATTTTATGAATTAGGCACAGTGAGAGATTAACAATAATAACTAATAATAAAATAGAACAATTATAACAATAAATTGTAAAAAGGTTTTTTTACCCCTTATTAAGTGGAGAACTTCTATCTTTTCACTTAAAGGAAACATGTTTTATATGGCTTCTCTTTGGCATATCTCAGTTGCCAGCATTGTTACTTTTGCACTTCCAGGCTATTATTAAGTAAAATAAGGATTACTTGAACACAAGCATGGCTGTCCTGAGACAGTCGATCTGATATCCAAGATGGCTACTAAGTGACTGATAGGCAGACAGTGTGGGTGTGCTGTACAAAGGGATGATTTACTCTCAGGCTAAAAGTGGACAGTGTGAGATTTTATCTTATTACTCAGAAAGGTGCACAATTTAAAACTAGTTGTTTATTTCTGGAGTTTTCCATTTACTATTTTGGGACCGCAGTTGACCATGGGTAACTAAAACTGCAGAAAGCAAAACTGAATACAAGGGGAGTACTGCAAATGCTTTTTAGAAACCCTGGTATGTCTAGCTCTCCTGAAACAGAAGGAAGCATGGGAGTAGATGCTGAAAGGCGAATATGCTTGTGTTTCCTAGCAGCTTTCTTAATTTGTGAAGCAAGCTCTTCCCTAAGACCCATTTCTGGTCTTAGTGAAAATGGACTTGCCTCTCTTTCTCTTCTATCTTACGTTTGTCCTTATGCTATGTTATTTTTATGGAAATAGAATATAATAGAATGTAAGCTATCTAGAAAGTGTAACTGTGTGGCATTTTATTAATAATGAAATGCTCTTGTGTTTCTTCATTTAGGATCAGACTCTGTGATTTTACTGAAAGTAAAAGAGTCCCAGACTCCAACTCCCAGGTAAACTTTGGAGAAAGATCATTCTTAATATACAGTAGACCCTCTATAGTTGACCACCTCCCTATATTGATCACCTCCTTAAGTTGGCCTAATTATCACAGACTGGACATGCACCACATATACATATTAGTACAGTGGTCCTAGTTCCTTATGTTGACCAATTTATTAAAGTCCTGTG